ATACTCTTTCTTTACTCAGATACATAATTTGAGACAAGAATTCATTGAGAACAAATCTTTTAATACTTAATGTTGAAGTAAATTTTTTTTGTATAGAGAAAGATGATATGTCATCATATATAGTAGGACGGAAATTGTATGTACAACCGAGCTAAGAATGATTCTACGTGTAGAAAAAAGACACTAATTTGATATAACATTTTTTCATACGGAGCTTTGCCTGCAGAGAAATCGATTTTGACATTTGAGTCAAGCTTCTCGAAAATGAAGCTCTATGTAATATGTTACATCAAATTTTCACATTATTTTTTCACGTAGAATGCTCGCTTGCCCGCTTGTAAAACAATTTCCGCTCCACCCTGTATATAGTTTGGAAAAATGGTTAAAAGATGTATTGCAGAAGATATGTAATACTAAGTTGAGTGTTCGGTATGACAATAAAAGAAAGAGTAAGTACATATATAACAACACATTATTAATGATTCATCACAAATACATATCTGTTCATATAGTACAAGGTATCTTGGTATAAATAGGATTCATACACGTATAAACGTACTGTATTAGAATATATGAGGAAGAGCAATGAAAGATAAAAATATGTTAAAGAAGATGAAATAATTTGGTATTTGAAAAATTGAAGTCTTTTATATTTGTCTAACATTGATGTGATAAAAACGGAGCACCATCGTATGATATTTATGTACTTTGTATTAGCATGGCTACACTAACAGAAATCACGTTTTTTTGAAACCAATTTCATTGCTCGATATTCCTAAATTCATAGAATTTAGATTCCAAGATACTGTTTGCTTAATTAACATAATTCAAGTACAATATTATTAAATGAAAATTAAATGCATATACTGGCTTTCAACAAACAAATTGATTTTACAAAATTATATTTGCAATTAACTTATATTTACTATTAATCAATTGTGTAAAAAAGAATATTTAATAGCTTAGCCATACTAACATAATTTATCTATATTGTTGAACACTCTTCAGAGTTCTGATTTTGCACTATTAGAATATTTAGGTTTCAGTTCTTCAATTCGTTTAATGAAGTCTGTTTTTTCTATGCAACCATCACACGTTTCATCCCAATCACTTAATATTTTCTTTAAGTCACGTACCTTGAGTTTCTTCAGATCGACAGTGTTAATATCAATTTGTTTTTCTGAAATTAAATGTGATATGTATAATTAGAAAACCTGTAATATCAAAAGAGTCAACTCTCAAGAGAATTTATTCGAAGTAAGCTTACCATATCTCAAATCACATATTTGAGCATCCATCTTCTTCAATTTCTCACATACTTTATTTGCAGGCATAGACCAAGATATAGGTTTACTCAATTCACTTAAAATACCTGTTGCTGAATCTTCCAAACCACCTAAATAATAACACTGTACAAAATAGAAAATTTAATAACATTAAATATATTTATTCTATTTATATTATATAATATAATAATCTGTTGTTATGAATACTTACAAATCTGTTTTCTTTAGATTTAGTGCCTTTACAAAATTCTTTGAATGCTTCTTCTATTTTCTTTGTATCTTTTTTCATATCTTCACTTAAAGAATTCACAAATTTTTCCACTGTCTTTATGCAAACTGAAACATTACCAGTTTATATACATCAAGAAAGATGAATTAAACAATGTAAGGAACACTGAAGAAAATGGTTTAATTACCTTCACATTCGTCATTTTTCAAACCTGTGACAGTATGCGTTAATCCAATAATAGCAAAAAGGGTTAATAACACTGAACTGTTCATTTTGAATGAAGTTTCTGTAAAACTAAAAAATAACCTTTTAATTTTGTATTCGTGTACAATAATAGAAATCATTAACTGTAGTTCTTTTACAATGCCAAATACGTACGCAATATCAAAAAATAGTCTCATTCACGTTATGTATTAAAAATACGTTTCACATTAAAAGTATTATTTTTGTCGGAAAATAAAAAGTCTCTCAAAATATTTTTCAGATAATGATTAAACAGAGTCGACTAAAGAAAAGAAACGATGTGAATTAACGGAAAAGTATATTACATTTACAATATTTACTAGGTTAACATGAATAACAACGAGGCATAATTTACAAATCGTTGAATATGATAAAGTAACTCACGTATCACGTAGAAAATATTTGTTTTTAGTCGTAACACAAACGTACGAAAATTTTTAATTCAATTACTTGCTGTTACAACGAAATTCTTAATTTAACTACATAAGTTTCGTTCCACGCTTCGCTTTATACACGTTGGACTCTGTCAAAAACTCAGAATCCCAGCTGGCGTGTTCTGATTGGTCCTAATAAAGTCCTTATCCTTTGTATTCGTCAGTTTGTCACAGTCACAATTTGTTACTCTGGGTGCTCTGGAAAAAGGGGGCAGTCAGGGGCAGTCTCTTCGAACCATCTGAGTGAACAACATAACTGGCGAGAATCAAGTGTTCGAATAAAACTAGAGCTTGATTAGTTGAATATGAACTGATGAAAAATCGAAAAAGAATTCAGATAAACCGGCAACCGAAGACGTTACATATGTAAATACATCACAAGAAGGCTACGTGTGTAATTGTACCAAGATGGCGCCGCGTAGAGAAAACCGATCTAACCTGAATTTAATGAAAATGTCGAAGAAAAATACTAAAAATTGGTACGAAAATTGCTTAGAATGGAAAAAATGGACTTATTCATTTATGGATCCAAAGAAATTAGTACCAATTGGAAGACTAATCATTATTTTGGAAATTATTTTAAATATATTGGTTATCGAGAAGGTGTCATATACGGAGATCGATTGGAAAGCATACATGCAAGAAGTTGAGGGCTTTTTGAATGGAACATTGGATTACTCAAAACTTAAAGGTGACACTGGACCATTAGTCTATCCTGCTGGATTTGTTTATGTGTTTTCCACATTATATTTCATCACAGGACATGGAGCAAACATAAAAATAGCGCAGTACTTGTTTGCAATTCTTTACATAGTGCTACTTATTTTAGTTTTCCGAATTTATGTGAAAACTAAGAAAGTTCCACCTTATGTCTTAATCATCATGTGTTGTACATCTTACAGAATTCATTCTATATTTATTTTAAGGCTTTTCAATGATCCAATTGCAATGGTATTATTATTTGCAAGCCTTAATGCATTTTTAGATAATCAATGGTACTTGGGAAGTATTCTATACAGTGCAGCTGTATCTATAAAAATGAACATTTTGTTATTTGCACCAGCACTTCTCATAGCCTATGTGTATAATTTAGGGATAATCAAAACAATAATACATTTACTCATTTGTGCCTTGATTCAAGTAGCATTGGGTCTTCCTTTCTTACTTGATAATCCATTAGCATATATAAAAGGTGCTTTCAATTTTGGAAGAGTTTTTGAATTTAAATGGACCGTAAATTGGAGGTTTTTACCTGAACACATTTTTATTAGTCCATACTTTCATGTATCATTGTTGTTGTTACATATATTGACATTAATTTATTTTGTTCCAATATGCATAAAGTATATGAAATCATATGCAAAATTAAAATATGTAGGGGAAAGCTTGCAGCCACAATTAAGAAAGAAGGAAAAGATAGATATGTCTACAGTCAGTCAATTATTTATTTTTCCAATGTTTGCTACAAATTTTATTGGTATAACATTTAGCAGATCATTACATTATCAATTTTATATATGGTATTATCATACTTTGCCATACCTTATATGGTGTACAGATTATAAGACTGTTATTAAGTTAACTATTTTGGGTATAATTGAATTATGTTGGAACACTTACCCAAGCACTATTTATAGCAGTGTGTCATTACATGTATGTCATCTAATGTTATTATTTGGATTTATGAAAAATAAGTTTAATTCTGAAAAAGAGCAATAAAAAGATATATTATTATAACAAAATTCATGACAATTCATGAAGTGCACTCAAGTGCGCTGCTACTGTTTACTAATCTCACCTCTGTGCTATGGTTTAAAAATAATAGAAAATAATGGTGCCTGTCACTGTTTTTACGCAATTAATTAATGGAAAACTAAATAATAGAGTGTCTTGAAATATTTTAAAGAAAGTACCCGAATTTTTCGACAAATATGATGATGTATTATACAAAATTAAATACTTAACCTGTTATGAAAGCACTGTATGAAATAAATTTGGATATGTAAATTTTATAAACTGTACATTTCTGAACTTTACTAATTATGAATTCAACAGGTATATGTATATTTCGTGTAATTAAATTCTACGTAATTTTGTAGAAAGTTACATAAATATGGAAGAATATTGTATTGTTCATTTGAGAATAATTATGTACATAATTATAGAAAAGTGTAAAGTTTCATTACCTGCGAATGAAGACTGTATTACATATAAGTCTCAATTTGTTGGATTAGATGATAAGCCGCATGATACAAAGTGTCTTTTGTGCGATACTAAATTTGTTTTGCCCGATAATGAAAAAGATTTTCTGACACATTTATTCAAAGAACATAGACTTGTAATAGGAGATGTATGGAATATTGCTAGTTTAAAAAGGTTTGGGTAATTTACTAATGTGATCTGTTTTTATGGTTTTCCAAATTATTTTTTTTTTAAGTTGTATATTTAAATTTCAGCTATGTACATTATTGGGGTGTCAAGCTCAAGGAAGAGCCATTAGTTAAATATTGTACAACTCTGTTAATGAATTGTACACCAGATGGGAAGCCAAGCGAAAATGAAAAATACTTTCTATTGTCTGATTGCATCTCAGAAGATAAAGTTCTAAGGGATGAGATACATAAAGCTAAACTGGTATTAAAATCTTATAGAAGATAAAAGGTCTCATGAAGGAGTATAATTACAAGCTTCTTTTATTTTTTTTAAGGAATGGGTTTTATCAGAACAAGCAAGAGAAAGAACAGATACTGGCTTTAAACGTGGTTGTATTTTCTGTAGAATGGAATTTTCTGGTCTGCGCATTACATACGTAAAGCATCTAGCTCAAAAGCACAATTTATATCTTGGAAAACCAGACAACTTAGTCTTTATAGATGAATTTTTAGATAAAATTCAGACTACTATTGAAAAGTGAGATTCATCTATGTTTTTTTGTAAATGAATTAGAAGTAAATTTTAGAATGTATCAAATATCTTTTTCAGTTTGATATGTATATTCTGTGAAAAATTATTTAAAGATCGTACAGCATTAAAGGAACATATGCGTAAAAAATTACACAAAAGGATAAATCCTACTAATACAGAATATGACAAATTTTATGTAAACAATTACTTGGAACCTGGAAAATCATGGAAACATAGACAGGTACTTTCTATTGAAGTCTATGCATTAATAACTACTTCTATTTGTCTATTGTAGTAATTTTTCATGCATAGAGTAATTGCAACGAAAATAATGAGGTAGAGGATCAAAATAGTGAAAACGAGGACGAGGATACATGGTCTGATTGGAATGACGAAGGCATTGGTATATTATGTTTGTTTTGCAGTTACAGTGACAAGCATTTCCATCAAGTTCTTATTCATATGAAGACAGAACATAATTTCGATTTTAAAATTGCCTCGAAAGATTTAACATTTTACCAAAAAGTAAGATACCTACGTATACAATGCATAAGTATTATAATAAAACAGCACGTTTATAAAATAAAATTTTCTAACAGGTAAAGGTGGTGAATTATGTGAGGAGACAAATTCATTTACAGACTTGTGTTTTCTGTGAAACAAAAGTGGAAAATATTTTGCAACACATGAAGGAAGAGAATCATTTTAAAATACCTCCTCAAAAAACGTGGGATCAACCAGTGTTAGTACCTCATACGTTTTGAAATTATAATTTATTAAATTATTTAGAATTTTTGCATTGATATAACATTTCAGGTATTATTTTCCTATGAGTGAAAACGAATCGTTTTTATATAATTTGGATACAAGTAGCACTAGTGACGAAGAAAGTGATATCGAAAATCCTACAGAACTGGTGTATGAAAAACCTAAAGAATAAAGGCTGCCTGTGTAGACGAAAATATATTTAATATTCGTATTTTGCATTATCCGAAGTAATATAACTTTATCAATAAAATAATATATTTTGAGTATAGCAATTTATATAAGTAATAATCATGTCTCATGAGAGAATAGTGGAATTCTATATAGAATGTATTTGCTAAAATATAAAAATATAATGAAAACTTGCATTTTGAAATAAATCAATGAATTAAATTTTAACACTCTTGAAGATAGTAACATGTGCTTGAATTTAATTCAGAACAATTTTTATATGCAACAAAAACAAATGTTGTTTCATTAATGAAATATTAATGATTGACTGATACCTTACATTTTTTTAAAGTCATGTAACTGTTAGAAACAAATTTTTCTCATTAAGTTCTAATGTTAAAAATTACTTTCCACAATGATGCGAAACAATACTGATAAAGAATTCGGCAAGCGACATTGTTGTTTAGAAGCTTTCAGAAATAATTGTGTTCGAGTTAAAGTGGTAGGTGTCATAAACTCCGTTGCTTTTCAAAAAGCTCGAATATGTGCGGAAAAGTTCCATCAACATTTACCGTTTAAATTTTCGCTGCCGCAAATTGTAGAACTATTTCAAATGGACTGGCTTGAATACATACAAAAAATGAAAAGGGTAATTGTAATGCATATAATGATATTAGCCTCTAATAATAACGTGTGTAACAGATGATTGTATGTATAACAGTTATAGCCAATTACTGATATTATGTTTTTCAGCAAACTGGTGGTAAAATATGGTCACTAACAAAAACTGTAGCAGTTTTTATAAACAACGAATTTCTTGGTGATGATATACTTTTCCTGCGTTACATAAGTCAAGATTATATTTTTTCTTTACCCATCAGACCAGAATATTATGAAAATCTTGCTACAGAACAGTGTAAAAAATTTGTGCAAAAATCTAAGGTAAATATTTCCTATCAATACTTCCTAGTAGATAGATAAATTCTTTATTTCAGTTTCTCTTTGTCAAGAAATGGACTTGGTTTCATGCCAATTCTTATTTAATATTTTAATTATTATTGTTTTTTCTTAATTATATATTTATTTCTTTTATCTCGCATATGTATTTTACATTCCCATTTAACTTCTATTGGTTTTTATTGTCTCCAATCCTTTAATATTCTATCATGCCACAATACTTTCTAGTACATACTGCAATATAGTCATTAATAATAAAGAAATTATACGTTAATGCACTGCTTTTAAATTTCAGAGGAAGTATGTTTATTTCACGTTTTCTGTGGATGAATTTATTGTTGGCTCATTTGTATTTATGGTAACGATTTATATGTAATAAAATTTAGTTTTGTACGAATGTTCTTATATCTGAAAATATTCTACTAATTTAGCTATATTCTGATTTGTTACCATTAACTTGCCAACATTTTTTAAATCTTTGTACTGGATATGATGAAATCAATGGATGTTATAAAGATGTGCATTATGTTAATAAACACTTGCATC